CAATGAGGCGATCAGGAGCCACGTGAAGGATTCATTGCATTGCTTTTGACCATATGGTTTAGTGGCGTAGGTCGTGGGTTTGGGAGTACCGAGGGTGAGGGCTCGAATCCTACTTATTTTCTCAGAGGGTTACAGTGAGAGCAGAAACATCGGAGTGGAGAGAGGGTACGAGTACCACAAGGGTCGGGTTTGGAGCCCATCCTGTTTGTAATGTCTACGACCTGACAGTGGAAATGGACTTCTTCATATCAATGTTTGAAGATGAAGCAAAACTAGTGAGAAGAGGCAGGGCAGAGATAGATTGTGACGCATTGTGAACGGATTTGGTCATGCTTCGTAAGCGGTCCGAAAAATGGCTAGTAGAGTTCAACCCAGTCAAATGCAAAGTTATGAGGATTGGAGCAGGAGTACAACAGTATAGGATGAAGGCAAAAAAATTCTTCAGTTTGAAAAGGTGAATGACCTGGGAGTGGACATTAACCCAAATCTGATGCCAGAAGCCCACATTAGCAGAATAACAACAGCTGCATATGACATACTGGCCAACGTCCAAGTATCCTTCAGAAACTTGGACAAAAGACCTTTTCGGGCCTTATATACAGCGAAGGTGAGACCCACTCTTGAATATATATCCCCAGCATTAAACCCTTACCTGAAAAAGGACAAGGAGAAACTGGAAAATGTCCACAGATGTGCAACGAGACGTATTCCTGAGGTAAAGGGATTGAGGTATGAGGACAGACTAAGAGAACTGGGCCTTACCACACTGGAACAAATGACATATTGGGAGATAAGATAACAATATATAAAAAGTTAACATAAAGTAATAAAGTAGACAATTAGTAGAGTCCAGGGGGCGGGCAAAAGTGACGCGTGAAAGGAGGAAATAGGAAGAACAAAAGAACAGGCTGAGAAAGGGACAGCACCTAAACAAAAATATGTAAAAGCTCTTTATACGTATCCCAGCAGAATGGGAAGGCTGGGTGGAACGAGGCACGGGAGGGAGGGAGAGAGGAAACTATTCACCTAGTTGTGCTTGCGAGGGTTGAGCTCTGGCTCTTTCGGCCCGCCTCTCAACTGTCAATCAACGATCATTTTTTTTTATTTTTGTATGATGGACCTGGTGGTATGATGGTCCTGGTGGTATGATTGACCTGGTGGTATGATGGACCTGGTGGTCCTGATGGTATGATGGACCTGGTGGTATGATGGACCTGGTGGTATGATGGTCCTGGTGGTATGATGGACCTGGTGGTATGATGGTCCTGGTGGTATGATGGACCTGGTGGTCCTGGTGGTATGATGGACCTGGTGGTATGATGGACCTGGTGGTATGATGGTCCTGGTGGTATGATGGTCCTGGTGGTATGATGGACCTGGTGGTCCTGGTGGTATGATGGACCTGGTGGTATGATGATCCTGGTGGTATGATGGACCTGGTGGTATGATGGACCTGGTGGTATGATGGTCCTGGTGGTATGATGGACCTGGTGGTATGATGGTCCTGGTGGTATGATGGTCCTGGTGGTATGATGGACCTGGTGGTATGATGGTCCTGGTGGTATGATGGACCTGGTGGTATGATGATCCTGGTGGTATGATGGACCTGGTGGTATGATGGACCTGGTGGTATGATGGACCTGGTGGTATGATGGACCTGGTGGTATGATGGTCCTGGTGGTATGATGGTCCTGGTGGTATGATGGACCTGGTGGTATGATGGTCCTGGTGGTATGATGGACCTGGTGGTATGATGGACCTGGTGGTATGATGGTCCTGGTGGTATGATGGTCCTGGTGGTATGATGGACCTGGTGGTATGATGAATTTGGTAATATGACCGAACGAAGGTCTCATAGTACAGTCGACTTCATCCCAGACTCATAATCGGGATTCACGGATTGGATTCCCTGGCGGGACAAAAATGATTGGGCATGTTTTCTTTTACCTAATGCCTCTCAACCTAGTAGCAAAAGCGTACCCTGGATCTAGGCATCTGTTGTGGGGTTGCATCCTCGGGGAGGGTCGGCGGTTCCACCGTGGGGGATCTCAGTACAAGTCTAAAGTGTATAGTTTATATACACTTTTTTTATATTTTCTTGATTTTTTTCAGTGACTGTTTAAAGAATGTTGGTTTGTGACACTGTTGGTCTGTGGTTAAGCTCCTCATTCTGTATCCCAGTTGTATATTGGGGCCACATTTGCCGCCATCCAGATGCTGGACTCCCTGGCTAATAACTCGTTAAAGATCAGTACTAAGGGTATACTCCGGTATTGCGCAGCTTTTGACAATATGTATAATGATATACTTTCTGCTTTTACAGCTTTAATATGTTAACTTTGGTTACCTCAATACTTCCGTTACTGTTACCTCAATACTTGCCAGTTTGTTCTCTAGGGTTACTTGCTCTCCTCTTACTGGGACCTGTTGTGGCTCCTCTACACCTTCCCTCGTCACGCTCGCTGTTCTCCTCCCGTCTTCCCTGATCTACTCACTTGAACATTTACTATGGACAATGGAGCATTTAATATAACTATGGAGCAGCATCACATGCAATGTAATTTTCATAGTTTATATTATTTATTGAGGTTTATGATTTTTATCTGGTCCATTTGTGTCTGTCTCATCTGCCTGTCCTCTGTGTTCCTTCCACTACTGTTTTTTCTTATTGGAAGATGCCACTCTGTTAAATGGCCACAACGCCAGTCATTCTACCAGTCAGAAAAACAGTTACTCGGCACACCAATCAGTCAGTACGTTAGAAAACTAGTCATTCTATCAGTCAGAATTGAAGTAATTGTTTAGAAACCAAGGGACCTTATATTCTTCCTATCAGGCACACTAGCTAATCAGAGAAGCAACAACCGATCAGGAAGAACCACAAGAGCTCACTGGAGCACCAGGTCGACCTGTCCACCAGTCTAAGAACAACGACTATCAGCACAGTCTGTTTGATCACGAAACCTTCCAAGCCACAATTAAAGCACTAAAGAATTAACCAAGAAACCTCTTGAGATTAACAGTGAATTAATTAACCAGAGTATCAACAAGTGAAGTGATAGCTGACGCCCCTCGTCTAGTGTGACACGCCCCTCGTCTAGTGTGACACGCCCCTCGTCTAGTGTGACACACGCCCCTCGTCCAGTGTGACACGCCCCTCGTCTAGTGTGACACGCTTGTCTAGTGTAACACGCCCCTCGTCTAGTGTGACACGCTTGTCTAGTGTGACACGCCCCTCGTCTAGTGTGACACGCTTGTCTAGTGTAACACGCCCCTCGTCTAGTGTGACACGCCCCTCGTCTAGTGTGACACGCCCCTCGTCTAGTGTGACACGCCCCTCGTCCAGTGTGACACGCTTGTCTAGTGTAACACGCCCCTCGTCTAGTGTGACACGCCCCTCGTCTAGTGTGACACGCCCCTCGTCTAGTGTGACACGCTTGTCTAGTGTGACACGCCCCTCGTCTAGTGTGACACGCCCCTCGTCTAGTGTGACACGCCCCTCGTCTAGTGTGACACGCTTGTCTAGTGTGACACACGCCCCTCGTCTAGTGTGACACGCCCCTCGTCTAGTGTGACACGCCCCTCGTCTAGTGTGACACGCTTGTCTAGTGTGACACGCCCCTCGTCTAGTGTGACACGCCCCTCGTCTAGTGTGACACGCCCCTCGTCTAGTGTGACACGCTTGTCTAGTGTGACACGCCCCTCGTCTAGTGTGACACGCCCCTCGTCTAGTGTGACACGCCCCTCGTCTAGTGTGACACGCTTGTCTAGTGTAACACGCCCCTCGTCTAGTGTGACACGCCCCTCGTCTAGTGTGACACGCCCCTCGTCTAGTGTGACACGCTTGTCTAGTGTAACACGCCCCTCGTCTAGTGTGACACGCTTGTCTAGTGTAACACGCCCCTCGTCTAGTGTGACACGCTTGTCTAGTGTGACACGCTTGTCTAGTGTAACACGCCCCTCGTCTAGTGTGACACGTCCCCCGTCTAGTGTGACACGCTTGTCTAGTGTAACACGCCCCTCGTCTAGTGTGACACGCTTGTCTAGTGTGACACGCCCCTCGTCTAGTGTGACACGCTTGTCTAGTGTAACACGCCCCTCGTCTAGTGTGACACGCTTGTCTAGTGTAACACGCCCCTCGTCTAGTGTGACACGCTTGTCTAGTGTAACACGCCCCTCGTCTAGTGTGACACGTCCCTCGTCTAGTGTGACACGCTTGTCTAGTGTAACACGCCCCTCGTCTAGTGTGACACGTCCCCCGTCTAGTGTGACACGCTTGTCTAGTGTAACACGCCCCTCGTCTATTGTGACACGTCCCTCGTCTAGTGTGACACGCTTGTCTAGTGTAACACGCCCCTCGTCTATTGTGACACGTCCCTCGTCTAGTGTGACACGCTTGTCTAGTGTAACACGCCCCTCGTCTATTGTGACACGTCCCTCGTCTAGTGTGACACGCCCCTCGTCTAGTGTGACACGCTTGTCTAGTGTAACACGCCCCTCGTCTATTGTGACACGTCCCTCGTCTAGTGTGACACGCCCCTCGTCTAGTGTGACACGCTTGTCTAGTGTAACACGCCCCTCGTCTATTGTGACACGTCCCTCGTCTAGTGTGACACGCCCCTCGTCTAGTGTGACACACGCCCCTCGTCTAGTGTGACACACGCCCCTCGTCTAGTGTGACGCACGCCCCCCGTCTAGTGTGACACACGCCCCTCGTCTAGTGTGACACACGCCCCTCGTCTAGTGTGACGCACGCCCCCCGTCTAGTGTGACACACGCCCCTCGTCTAGTGTGACGCACGCCCCCCGTCTAGTGTGACACTCACGCCCTCCGTCTAGTGTGACGCACGCCCCTCGTCTAATGTGACACGCCCCTCGTCTAGTGTGACACACGCCCCTCGTCTAGTGTGACACACGCCCCTCGTCTAGTGTGACACACGCCCCTCGTCTAGTGTGACACACGCCCCCCGTCTAGTGTGACGCACGCCCCCCGTCACCTACCTTGTTCATACCGTTGCCCATGGTGAGTGAAGGAGGGAGTGGGCGCGTGCAGGAGGAGCGAGCCGTCACAATGCCCCCAGGCCTGGGCAGCCCACCTCGCACAGTCCCGTCTTGAGCATCTTGTCCCAGCCCTCCAGGACTCCTGACCCCGCCGCCTTCAGGTGAGGCGAGGCCGGCACCCGTGGAGAAGTCTACTGAAGGTGGTTATGGAGGAGCGGCAGCAGGAGCAGCCACGGGCGGCGCGAGGCAACATTCCAGGAGGCGCGGGAAGGAGAGGATGTCACCCCGTAACTTGACCAGGAAGAGTTCTTTATTATTACATGTCTCACACACCCGTCCTCTCGACTCAGAGACGCTGAGGGGCGCGTTCGATCCCTCTCGACGTCATCATGCGACTGATCGCGGTCGACACCAACTTCCACTTCAGTTCATGGCTGGAGACGCTGCAGCACTAGTGCGCATGTGCTTTCCCTGAACTATACTCGCTTTTCCTTTTTCTTCGTTTTCCTTCTTATTTCCGTAGTTCGAACAGACTAGTGTTCATGGGAAATATTCGTGAATATAAAAAATATGATCTAAACGAAAGCGAGCAAAGAAAACATATTTTTTGGTATTCTAGAGTTATCTTACCCTCTGTTTGGCAGCCTAATACAGGCTTGTGATTTGAATTGTTGCCGCTAGATGGTGACGCTTGCATGGCGCCTACGCCTATATTCCTCGCTCACTCCAGCATTCCTGGCAAGAAGGATGCCAATACATGGTGTGGCTGCTGCTGTAAAAGACCTGGAGGCCAGTTTCCAGAAGGAGAGTGAGTAATATTGACATTTGACGGAGGGTTGGGACCATGTTCCTACCTCACCCTTCTCCCACCACCCCTACGGCGCCTCCTCCCGTCCCCTCTACCCCGATCGAAGCTCTCCGGACCCCCGGGGTGAAGTTCCTGATCGAAAGTGTTCCAGAATGATTCGCGGATCCGGAACTCATGGATGTCTATTTACAACCTCTTCTTCCTTTGTTGCTACATTTTATAAAACTAGTCACATCATGCACAGGAAACCAATTTTGTCCAGTCAATATTTACATTCTGCCATGGCATCAACGGAGAGAGAGAGAGAGAGAGAGAGAGAGAGAGAGAGAGAGAGAGAGAGAGAGAGAGAGAGAGAGAGAGAGAGAGAGAGAGAGAGAGAGAGAGAGAGAGAGAGAGAGTGAGAGCTGGCCTGCTGGAGATCATTCCGTCATGCCTGCCAGCCTGCCCAGCCCACCTCCTGTAACACTGCACCACATGTGTTCCGCTGCCTGCCCTGCCCATCATCTCACGCTGCCTGCCCTGCCCATCATCTCACGCTGCCTGCCCTGCCCATCATCTCACGCTGCCTGCCCTGCCCATCATCTCACGCTGCCTGCCCTGCCCATCATCTCACGCTGCCTGCCCTGCCCATCATCTCACGCTGCCTGCCCTGCCCATCATCTCACGCTGCCTGCCCTGCCCATCATCTCACGCTGCCTGCCCTGCCCATCATCTCACGCTGCCTGCCCTGCCCATCATCTCACGCTGCCTGCCCTGCCCATCATCTGCTCACGCTTCATATTGTGTCAATTTTGGGTTGCTCTCCACTGGCCGCACCAAGAGGGCGTGGGGGTGGACGCTGGAGAACCACATTATTCGCACACTTGCTAGACAATTTATATGATTAGTGCGAGAATATTAGGAAAATTAACGAAGTGAGCATGTTATAGAAGTAAATTCTATTCAAAATGTCAAAAGTATAAATGAGTGGAAGATGGGTCGGGAATTATTGCAGTACCGCCGGCCAGACAGGCAGGGTCCAAGAGCTAAAACTGATCCTGAAGTAACAAATAGGCGAGCACAGGCACCCCTCACAATGCTCTCCTCCTCATACAGCTCATATACCCGTGGCTCGTCCCCTCATTTACAAGGCTCTTCCCCCTCACACAAGGATCTTCCTCTAAAATACACAAGGAACTTTCGCCCCTCACCCACGCTCACTCGTCACCCCCACCCCACGCCCACTCATCACCCCCGCTCCTCACCCATGCCCACTCATCACCCCCGCCCCTCACCCACACCCACTCATCACCTCCACCCCACACCCACGCCCACTCATCACCTCCACCCCACAACCACGCCCACTCATCACCTCCACCCCACACCCACACAAACACAGGAAACAATCAAACACAGTATAATAGAGGTGTTCCAGTTCGACACGGGCGATGAGTACGCCCTTATACTTCCTGCCTTCACATATACAATTTCCTTCGTTCATTCATTTCCTTCATTCTTTCGTTAGACCTCTACGACGCTTAGGCACTACTGCGTGCCTGGAGGTGCCGGTCACACACCGGACTTGGGGAACGTGAGAAGTGTGCAGCTTGTTACAAGTCAGTTATCTTGATATTCAGTAATTTGCACCCGCAAGATAACCTAAGCTTTTAAGGGTTGATAGATGTTAATCTTCTTGTTTGAGGAGCTGTTCACTTGAGACAGTTAAGCAAGTCCCAGCTGTGTCTGGGTACAAGTGACAGGATGAACAACCCAGCGGGTTTTCTTCCTATTGGGGAGTGTTGTACATGCTGCTATGGCGGTGTGTCCACTCACAAGATGAGTGACGCTGCCCAATACTGTCACTATGGCGGTGTGTCCACTCACAGGATGAGTGGCGCTGCCCAATACTGTCACTATGGCGGTGTGTCCACTCACAGGATGAGTGGTGCTGCCCAATACTGTCACTATGGCGGTGTGTCCACTCACAGGATGAGTGGCGCTGCCCAATACTGTCACTATGGCGGTGTGTCCACTCACAGGATGAGTGGCGCTGCCCAATACTGTCACTATGGCGGTGTGTCCACTCACAGGATGAGTGGTGCTGCCCAATACTGTCACTATGGCGGTGTGTCCACTCACAGGATGAGTGGCGCTGCCCAATACTGTCACTATGGCGGTGTGTCCACTCACAGGATGGGTGGCGCTGCCCAATACTGTCACTATGGCGGTGTGTCCACTCACAAGATGAGTGGCGCTGCCCAATACTGTCACTATGGTGGTGTGTCCACTCACAAGATGAGTGGCGCTGCCCAATAAACTCGCCCCTCGGGGCAAAATTTAAATTTAAAAAAATTCAGTAACTATCCACTCAAGGAAGCAGTTCTATTAGTTTTTGTTATGTACACTTCTTATTAATTCTTTGTATGGTAATTATTTTCGTATTTGTATCACATGGCGTGTAAGGCTGGGCCGGACTCATCACAACTACTCCGTGACATTATAGTTATAAAGGATAAAAACCCACACTTATGTATTTGTGAAATTTATGTAAAGATTTACACCAAGTCTTTCGCACACTCCTGAGTGCTTTGTCAAGGTCTGAGTGTGTGATTAGGACCAGACTTACATCTCAGCGGCTAATGCCAATGACATTAGTCGTTCAGATGTAAGAGATTAGTCGTTGCCATTTGTGGGGCGTTGGCATTGTATATCCGTTTTGATCTCATAGGCTCGCTTTCACTGACAGTGGCATGAGCCGTGACAAATGGAGTTATAGTCATAGATGAGACCAGGAGGCCTGGTCGACGACCGGGCCGCGGGGACACTAAGCCCCGGAAGCACCTCAAGGTAAGGAGACCACTGCTTGGTGTAACCAGCAGTGGTCTGTTGGTTACACTACACTGGTTACACCACTAACAGGGTGTTAGAACTGGACACAAAACTCCATGCACCCACACATATTTATCGTTGATGAAGCCACAGATGAGATCAAGTAGTTACCGCTAGACGAGGTCACAGCCAAATATGGCTACAACTGGACGGAGTCACAGTTAACTGGTGTAGTACATAATTGGGGTTTGCTGCTGGACTCTCGCACCGTCACCCTCCAACGTAAAAACAACATGCAGGCTACAGAACATTTATATTTCATATAGTTCGATTCCCAGATAGTTGGCCTTGATGTAATTACAACTAGCAATGATTACAATTAGTTAATAGGTATCACAACTTGATAGGAGCTCAATGACCTTTGAGGAGAGGAAGAGAATATAGGCATGATCAGAGCCTGCTGGTAGGTTACTTCACAGTCCTGCTCGATCAAATCATCAGGAATAATGTAGGGACCTTTCACAAGCCGCCGGCTTCCTGTCCTCGTCGAGACCACTAGAGAGATAGTGGTCCGCAGGTTACTACCAAGAGGCAAGGTAGAGACACCCAACAAAAAACAAATACAAATATTTTTTCAGGTAAAGTACATACATACAAGGTAAGATACAAAAGTTGATGGATTTATAGATAGAGCTAGTACATACAGTGCCTAAAGCCACAATTACGCAAAGTGTTTCGGGCAGGAAAAGTAAGTAAACCCATTTCCAAGTAAGAGATAATGGGATGAGATGCCCGAAACGCTTTGCGTAATAGTGGCTTTAGGCATTGTATGTATTAGCTCTATCTATAACTTCATCAATATTTGTATCACACCCTGTATGTATGTACTTTACCTGAATAAACAATTGAATTTTTTAATTTTGAGATTGACACGAATGGAAGTTAGAAACAAATAAATTAGAGACCCAATAAAATGTATTCTGGTGCATTTACAAGAAAGTGTTAAGAGTTATTCTTTGTTTACAAATTTTGGTGATTAATTTGTAGTCTTGCTAAGTCATTCAGGGTAAATATTAAATTGTTACGCCAATCAATCGTGGCACCAAAGAAAACCAAACAAATCCACTCTTTATAGAAAACGTCTTTCATTTCATTTTCTGGAGAGTCTTCTACTGTGTTTTATGGCGAATATTTACTTGAATTTACCTGCTGGCCACTGTTTTTAGTTGCCAAGACAGGAACAGGAAGCCAGCGGCTTGTCAAAGGCCCCCCCCCCGGCCATTGTTCCTTGAGGATTTTTCTAACTGGATTTTGAACTGATTTTGAAACATGTGGCATTTGTGTTGATAATTTGCAAATGGTCGGCCGGTAAGGGAGCCGGTCGGCCGAGCGGACAGCACGCTGGACTTGTGATCCTGGGTTCGATCCCGGGCGCCGGCGAGAAACAATGGGCAGAGTTTCTTTCACCCAATGCCCCTGTTACCTAGCAGTAAAATAGGTACCTGAGTGTTAGTCAGCTGTCACGGGCTGCTTCCTGGGGGTGGAGGCCTGGTCGAGGACCGGGCCGCGGGGACACTAAAAAGCCCCGAAATCATCTCAAGATAATCTCAAGATGAAGATTATCTCAAGATGTTCCCAGCTGAAGATGCCATTACTCCAAAATAACTCGGATACAACTCGAAACACTAAGACTTGGTTATGAAAAAGATATGAGGAGATGAAATGACAGTTATGGAAAAAAACAATTGTAAAGTGTAACAGGTCAATGTTTTGGATATGTACAATGTTTTGCACAACTCTGTA